CACAAATACTTCCAGAGATATGTATGTAATATGAAAATTCCAATTTGTATGGGAGGGGCCTTGAGTTATCGGACTTACTTTCAGTCTAAGACCATGCTTTTGAAATCCGTAGTAAGTGTACTAAATTTCGCTCTGATCGGAAAACCGGTTAAGGAAGTAGCCTATTTTTCAATCCAGGTCATAAACCATCTTTGAGCAAAATTTCATTTTCAAACAGGTGGCAATTCTTAAAAAAGTAGCCTATTTTCCAGTCTAGGTCATAAGCTATCTGTGTGCAAACTTTCATGCAAATCAGTTCAGTCATTTCCACGTATTAATTTAATTAAACTTTCCTAATACGTGATAACTCTTAAAATAGTAGCCTATTTTCCAACATAGGTCATAAGCTATCTCTGTGCGAAATGTCATGCAAATCTGTTCAGTCGTTTCCGCGTATTAATTTAATTAAAACTTTTTTAACAGGTGGCAGCTCTTCCAAAAAATTTGCCTATTTTCCACTGTAGGTCATAAGCTATCTGCTTGCAAAATTTCATGCAAATCCGTTCAGATTTTTCCGCGTATTAATGTAATTAAACTTTTTTAGCAGGTGGTAAATCTTAAAAAATGTAGCCTACTTTCTAACCTAGGTCATAAGCTATCTGTGTGCAAAATTTCATGCAAATCCGTTTAGTCGTTTCCGCGTATTAATTAAATTAAACATTTCTAACAGGTGGCAACTCTTAAAAAAATACCCTGCTTTCTAACCTAGGTCATAAGCTATCTGTGTGCAAAATTTCATGCAAATCCGTTTAGTCGTTTCCGCGTATTAATTTAATTAAACTTTTTTAACAGGTGGCAACTCTTCCAAAAAATTAGCCTGTTTTCCACTGTAGGTCATAAGCTATATGCTTGCAAAATTTCATGCAAATCCATTCAGTCGCTTCCGCGTATTAATTTAATGAAATTTTTTAACAGGTGGAAACTCTTAAGAAAAGTAGCCTATTTTCCAATCTAGGTCATAAGCTATCTGTGTGCAAATTTTCATGCAAATCCATTCAGTCGTTCCTGCATATTAAATGAATTAAGCTTTTTTAGCAGGTGGCAACTCTTAAAAAATAGCCTATTAACCAATCTAGCCCATAACCTATCTGCGTACAAAATTTCATGCAAATCCGTGCAGTCGCGTGATGATTTCCCAAACATCCAAAAATACAAACTTTCACATTTATAATATTAATAAAATTTTTTTTTTAAGTAATCAATCACTTTTTTACTTTTGTCAAAGAATATGGTAGTTCGATTTCAAAAGAAAATGCCAAAAGCACAGTTTACATCAAATGGGAGCAATGGCGGCTAAGAAGAAGAAGTGAAACTACCGTTAAATATTTGTATCATGATTTGTACCAGGGACGTGAACCGGTTTTGAACCGAACCGGTTTTTAACCGGAAAACCGCTCTTTTATATTAATTAACTGAACCATTAACCGAACCGAAATTTTCCACAAATGTTTGATCTGAACCGAAAACCGAACCACTTTTTATAAAGGTTGAAAGGTTCGTTTCAACCAATTTTCAATAGATAAATGTACCCACTTTTTTTTTCTTTTTGGTAAACATGGTAATACCCACCATGTTTGTTTACCATGTGACAATATCAAATGTAAAGGCAACCCATCTCATTTGAGAGACACTCGACCCTTAACCTTGCGCGATGTTGCACTTGACACTTTTTTTGTTTTTCGAACCGTTGAACCGAACCGAAACCCCGGTTCAAAGACAAAAAAAAACCGGNTTGTTTACCATGTGACAATATCAAATGTAAAGGCAACCCATCTCATTTGAGAGACACTCGACCCTTAACCTTGCGCGATGTTGCACTTGACACTTTTTTTGTTTTTCGAACCGTTGAACCGAACCGAAACCCCGGTTCAAAGACAAAAAAAAACCGGTTTGACGAACCAATCCAAAAGTGCAAAAACGGGTCGAACCGCTGAACCGAACCGACCAAATTTTTCATCCGGTTCACGTCCCTGATTTGTACTGAATATTCAATTCAAACAAAATACTTTAGGATTTTCTTAAGGTTTTTACATAACGTTGGAACTTCTTTAAACTGTACTGTGAAAAGTAAGAAGAAAATAATTCATTTATAGTTGACATGTTTTAGATAATGTTTGTTTCGCCCAAGAAATTAATTATGGGCATATCGCCAGGTTGTTACGTACCAGTTGCGATGTTATGATGGAGGTTAAATTATTTAAAAAGAAGGCTGACATTTTTTTGTCGAGTGTTGTTAATTATCTCCATGATACAAATATTTAAAAGTAAAACCGCTCGCTCAATTCGTCGGCCATCATTTATTTTTTGAAGTTTGTCTACTTTATAAAATTGAAATTTTCAGAGCAACTCAAATGCCAAATAAAAGTAAAATAAAAAACAAATAGATGAAAATATTCAAATTTTTTTTATTTGAGACTGAACGTGAGAACGTATTTTTGAGTTAGAAAATTTGAAAACATTTTTGTTATGTTAGCAAACTTCAAATATGTTCTCAGTGGTTAACCTTGTGTCATGGTTATCTCGAAAATAACTTTCAGTTTAATAAGAACAAATTTGAATATTCGAATGGCTTTTGTTTATAACTTAAAACTCTTTTTTCTCAATTTTCTGACATTGTAAAAGAGTTTTGCATACAGGACATAAAGTTAGATACTCCTTTTAGCGAATTCTTACTCTTTCAAAGTTTTTGCATAGTTGCAAAAATTATTTAAGCCATGAGGAAATATAGATGACGTCCTTAAAGAGTGATACTTTTTCACAGTTTGTAAAAGTATTTAATTTTGTTTTATTTTTTCAATACCACACTCAAACAAAGCAATTGAAAGGATCTTAAGTATAAAGTTTGTTTCCTGGCGCAAAGAGAGAAACGTATTGAATTCTTTGACTATTTATTTATGCACCAAAATATTGTTAAAAAGAAGAACTCTGGCGTTTTAATGCATATTCTGTTACTTAGATTCATAATTTTGCTTTGAATAAAAATGTACTGAAAAGTACTGATTTTTTAGCATGAAAAAGTCTAACGTACTGATTTCACGCATAAAAAATCTGGCAACCCTAACCATTTGTATCCAGTGTTTACTAAAATACCGGGCAACCTACTTACCAAATTTCGTTGACATATGGGCAAAACTTCGGAATCGTGAGCTTTTGTGTCACTCACCTTTAAATTAAGTTTATTAAAGTGATTTTACTTTTTATAAAAAACTTGGGCCATTTTGATAAAAAATCTTACGAGTTTTTGTAACTTATTTTTTTTTTTATTTTAATAATGGCTTTTTGATTTTTAAAAACGATCAATAATTTTGACTTGTCACTTTGAATACCTTTTGTACTTTTTTTGAGTATATAACTTTTTTAGCACAAAACGGAGACATTAAAAACTCATGCAAATAGTAAATGTTATATTGGCAAATGTATTAAGCGTTGAGAAAAATATGTTCTCCTCATTATTTCAAATGACTGTAACAATAATCTCTCACTCGTAATTATCAAAAAGGTGATATTTTAAGTTCTTTTCCATTTTGCACTTTCAGCAATTACTTAATAGTTCTTATTTCTTTATGCACATATTACTCACATATTAAAGAAGAAATAACATCTTTTATAGGTATGTGCTTTTAAATGCATAAAATATAACAAGTATTGTCTGGAAATGACTTTGCGTGAATGGCATTCCCCTTTTTGATGGCACAGATATTCTAAAACATAAAAAGTTGGGGTCAATCTCGATCGGTAGATAAGATTCTTCATAAAATTTGTTGATAAAGCTAAATACATAAAACAATTTTTGTCGTAAATGCAGCCATGAATTTAATGTGTGTATGTAAAGGACTTACAAATCGTTGGGCAGTTCGGTTAAGGAATTTTTAAATATTTACTCAAAAATTATATTTACATACAATTGATCTTAAGCGAAAATTAGTGTTTCGTAAAATTTTTTGGAAATCGGGCGTGGCCCGCTCAATTATGCCAAATATTTGAATCTCGAAAACCATTTCAGCAATTTGTACCAAATTATTGAAATCGGACAAAAGCCACGCCCTCTTGAAATACCGCTAACTTTGAATTTTCGGAAGTTATCGTTTTTTACTTACAACTCTTTAAAGCTGGGTTATGCAAGACTTAGACTCGACTTGACTTACCTAGAAACTTAGAAAGGATTACTCAGCATGTCAATTACCTTTTCTCTTTGTTTTGTACACGTAAAATTGCAAACGTTTAATTTGTTTCTACACCAAAATGGATACAAAATTACAATTAAAATGAATGTTTTTACGCGCATCAAATTGTGATTGTTTTTATTTAATTTTCTGTCTTCATTTGAAAGTTTGTTTTGCGATTGCCAGATGAATTACATCTATACATCCGTGGCATATTTGTAAAGATTTTATTAGAAAATGAAATGGCAGCATGATTCTCTCACGGCTCTCTCTGCGCTTAGAAATTTAACTTAGAAATCAAAAATCTATAGTTCTGCATGTTTCTAAGTGAAGTTGTTTTTTTGGGTAACTACATACACGCGCTGCTCATTTGCCAGATATACAATTTTCAAGTCAAGTCGAAGTCTTGCATAACTGAGCTTTTAAGCAGTTGAGAAAAATGAATTACACAATAATTTATTATTTCCTCAATGGATTTCAAACAATTTGAAATTTATTATTGAATCGCACGGTTCCCGAGATTTGCTCATTTGTCAATTTTGTCTCGATATATGGCTGAATCGACTTCTTTTTTCATTCTGAGCAATTTGGTATATATACATTAGAGTGGTTAAAAAAACACCATTTTTGGAAATTCATAAATTTGCGATAAAAAAAGATACAAATATTTTTTTTTATTTAAAAAAAGCTTTTGGAGGTCGCGCTTGACGGCTTTTTATAAAAACGCTATTGTTCAATTTTTTCCCTGATAAAAAAAGATACAAGTGTTTTTTTATTTTGAAAAAAAGTTTTTTTAGAGATCGCGCTGGACGGTTTTTTATAAAAACGCTGATGTTCTTATTTTTTTTTTTGTTTTCGTGACGTGTTAAAGTGCAGCTAAAAGCGTTGTTTTTGCATGTAATTACTCAGGTATTATTGGGAAATATTCCCTTAATTACATACTTGTCTTGGATAGTTAGAATGGGCCTAGGGCCCGGAAATATACTTTCGAAAAGTGACTGCTAGATTTGGATTTGCTCGAAGCTCGGCACTCGGTAGTTTTTGGGGTCGCTGATTAAGAATCTGAGGTCAATTTTTTTTATTTAAAATGGCGATCAATTTCTTAAATATTGACTAAAATAAAAACGCTGATACTGAACGTTTTATGCATTGCCATAGGTTGAAACTCGTTACCAGTGGTTTTATGGCGATCAACTTAAAAAAAATTATTGTATTTGTTTGAAACTCAGATCCGCCATTTTGAGTTTTGAAAATTTGACATCAAATTCGTAATCAGAAACTGCAGAAACCCACTGGTAACGAGTTTCAACCCATGACAATGCTTAAAACGTTCAGTATCAACTAGGGCTGTGTGATTATTCGAGCAAGTTGGCTAATCAGTTGTTCGGTTAATCAATTACTCGAGGAATCAAGACTTTGATTACTCAAAACTTAAAATATGATTACTCAAAAAAAAATTATTTTGCTCGTTAAAAGAGTTTGTTTGGAAAATGCTTATTTTCTTTTTTACAATCTGTATATGAAAAAAGTATTTAATTTTAATTTTTAAAAACAGAAACTTTGTTTTCAAAATATCAAGGAACTTCAACTACTTTATATGTAAAGAGTACTTTGAAATGTTGATTACTAATTTTACTCATAATGTTGATTAATCATAAAGCAAATATTTTTGTTTTTGGTTAATCAAAACTTGTTTGGTTAATCTGAACTTTTGAGTAATCATAATTTACAATTAATCGAATAATTGAGTTATTTACTTTATGATTAATTAAAATTTTGAATAATCAATTGATCGCACAGCCCTAGTATCAACGTTTTAATTTTTTAAAGAATTTAATAGATATTGGATCCGCCATTTTGAATTTTAAAAATTTACTTCAGATTCGTAATCAGCAACCGCAAAAACTCCAGAGTGCCCAGTTTCGATCAAATCCAAACATTTAAAAAAAATGTATCGCCATTTTGGATCCGCTATTTCGAGCTTTGAAAAACTGACTTCAGATTCCTAGCTAGCAACCCCGGAAACCCCCTGGCAACCAGTTCCAACCCATGACAATGCATAAATCTTTGAGCATCAACGTTTTATTTTTAGTAGTCTCTTTTCGTAAGCATTTTTGAGTGACTACATGTAAAAACAATATTTTTAGTTGCATTTTAACATGTCTCGTAAATAAAAAAAATTGGGAACACCAGCGCGACCTCTAAAAAAAACTGTTTTGTTTTCATAATAAACAAGTAAGAAAGTCTAAGTTCGGGCGGAGCCAAACATTAAATACCCGGCGTAAGTATTAAATATATATTTTCCACCTTTCCTTACCCCTATTTTAAACATCTTCGAGAGAACGTTCATTTTCCAAAATTCAAAACAATGTTACTTCTTTTCAAGGGATTTTTTTAGTATCAATTTTGAGTAAATTAGCGTCCTTAAATTTCGAAATATTGAAGTTTCAAGCATTTCTGAAATTTACTGAAATGTGAAAAGCGGCCGTAATTTTATTCCGATTTAAATAATTTTCAACGTTTTGCTTTTATGTGGAAAGCACAATAACCATACCGAGTTTATTACAAATTGGTAGAAGGGAAGGGTTACCGATATACGTATATGCGATCATAAGTTGGTTGTGCCACGCTAGAGTTGCCAGATTTTGTATGCGTGAAATCAGTACATTAGACTTTTTCATGCTAAAAAATCAGTACTTTTCAGTACATTCTCATTCAAAGCAAAATTATGATAGTAAGTAACAGAAAATAATCTAAAACGCCTGAGTTGTTGCTTTTAACCATATTTTGGTATATAAATAAAATATAGTTCATAAAAAATAAAAGCGTTATTCATTTTAACATGAGTGTACACATCATCATACACAGGAGCCAATAAATTATTTTATATTTGTGACTTTTGAATAGCAATAATGAGATCATTCCCATTTTCAGTGTTTAAATAGTCAAAGAATTCTAAACATTTCATTTTAGAATTACTTTTAATTTGAAGTTCACTTTCAAAAATTTTAATTAGAAGCCGGTTTCTCTCTTTGCGCCAGGAAACAAACTTTACTCTTAAGATCCTCTCATACTGTGAAAAAGTACCACTTTTTAAGGAGTTCATCTATATTTCCTCATGGCTTAAATAATTTTTCAACTACGCAAAAACTGTGAAGACTAAGAATTCGCTAAAAAGAGTATCTAACTCTATGTCTTGTATGCGAAGCTTTTTTACAAAGTCAGTAAATTGAGAAAAAGGAGTTGTAAGTTATAGGCAAAAGCTATTCGAATATTGAAATTTATTTTATTAAACTGAAAGTTATTTTCGAGATAACTAACAACACTCGAAAAAAATGTCAGCCTTCTTTTAAAATAATTTAAGCTCCATCATATTATCGCAACTGGTACGTAACGACCCGGCGATATGCCCATAAAACGATTGATCTTATTGTAATAGTAATTTCTTGGGCATATCAAATGTTATCTAAAACATGTCAACTATAACTAAATTATTTTCTTCTTATTTTTTACAGTACAGTTTAAGGAAGTTCCAACGTTATGTAAAAACCTTAAGAAAATACTAAAGTATTTTGTTTGAATAGAAAATTCAGTACAAATCAGTACAAATTTTGAAAAATCAGGACATTAGCGTACTGATTGAAGAAATGAATAAAATCAATACAAGAGTTGAAAAATCCGTACTGTCCCGATAAAATCAGTACGTCTGGCAACCGTATGCCACGCCCATTTTCCAAAATTTTATCATAAATGTATTTCTTGGTAAAGAATTGTAGCAAGCCTCAATTTTGAATAAATTAGCTTTAATATTTACTGATTTATCGAGGATTTTGTATTTCTCTAAATTACCGTTATATGGCATATGGGCGTGGTTATTGTCCGATTTTAAAAATTTTCGGCCATTTGGTATGCTGTACCAAGGCCAACAATCGTGCCAAGTTTGGAAGAAATTGGTGGAGCGGTTTCCAAGATATACAAAGGTAACCATAAGTGGGCGTGGCTACGCCCATTTTCCAAAAATTTATAATATTCTTATTTTTCGTCTAAAAGTTATTGTAAATATCAAGTTTGAGTGAATAATCTTCTGTAGCTACTAAAATATCGCAGTTTTCGTATTTCTGAAAATTACCGGGGAGGTACGCGTGGTTATTGTCTGATTTTACCCATTTTCAATACCATCCGTCCTACGCCCGAAAGAAGTGCACGTACCATGTTTCGTTAAGATATCTTAATTTTTACTTGAGTTATCGTGTGCACAGACGGACGGACGGACGTTAAAAACTATTTTTTGAACCGCTATAATATACATACTAGTGCGACTCATAAAACGTCGCAAATGGCGAAATGGCAACGTTGCGAACAAAGTGTTATGAACAACCTTTCGCAATTCCGGATTGTAAATGTAAAATTTAAAAAAAATGCCGCGCGTTAAAAAAAAGAAAAGTTTTTACAATTATATTTCGAAGTAGCCTTAGCGGATATACTTTTTCTTGAAGTATTTGAAGACAATAAAAAAAACATTTGTTTCGAGACTTTGACTTCGCAATGATTGCTAGCTCAAATACCATGGTAATGTCGCAATTTGGTCGCAAGAAAGTTTCCATACAGCTGTGGCGCAAGGTGGCAAATTTTGCGACATTTGCAACAACTTTGCGACTTTTCATGGATCGCACTATTATTGAAAAAACCAGCGCGACCTCTGAAAAAACTGGTTCTGGTTTTTTCATAATAAAAAAATACGTTTCTCTTTTTTATCACAAATAACAATAATTTGAGGTAGTGTTTATGAATTAAAAAAAAAAAAATTTTAACCATTCTAATATACATACTATGTCTATTATCTATCATGATTCGTTTTGGCTGTTACAAACCGTTATGCGAACAAAGTTATAAGTAGCTGTGTCACAAGGTGGCAATAGCCGTCATCGATTCGCCACTTCTCGCTCGCTATGTTTGAGTTCCGGTCGCTTAAAGAAGAATTTTGCATGCGAAAGCAACAACAAAGTTAGCTAGCACGGATAGACGATAGCGAGTTTGGTTGTACCTCATTGAGTTCGTTCGTTTCGCCACTCGCTAACTGATGGCGAATCGATGACGGCTAATATTTGCAACAAATGCGACATTTGCAACAACTTTGCGATTTTTCATGGATCGCACTATTATTGAATAAACTGTATTAATTGCTTATTCAAAAAATCGTGTTTTATTTGTTAAGATTTCGAAAATTGCATTTTGGTTAACCCAAGATGTTAAAAAAATTGTCAAACATTGATAGCTTTGTACCATTGCATAATATGCATATGTCATAAATATGTTATGGGGATACAATAATGTTTTTATAGTTTCGACGATCTTCATCCCTAATTTGTGGTGTGCGTTTTAATTTTATTTTTAGAAGAATCAACAGTTGCACGGAACTTTCAAGTGCACAAACATGTAGACATATGTACATACATAATTGATTGGTAACATGTACATATGTATGTATGTATAAGTTTGAATGCAGAACTGCAGATTTGCCATGGAGCGTACCGATTTAAGGGAGGTTTTGAAAAGATATTTCTGAGTATGTCACATTTTATTTTGAAAGGCTTTTATTGCGCACGTGCTTTAAAGTAATTCAATTAATTTATATTTATTGATATTCCGCAACACTTTATTTTCGGGATGTATGTATTTAATGTACCTTAATACGAATACTATGTACGTATGTATGTATGTATGTATATATATATGTACATACATTAATACATCAGCGTAATTATGCATAGTAAAAAATAAACTCAGAAGACATGATTTTCGAAATGCGCCTATAAAAAGATACTCACCGAGAACAGAAAATATTTTCCCAAGGTAACACCAAACAAAAAGAAAATTATTAAAAATTTTTTCAAAGATTGATTTACGAA